GGGGGGGTAGGGGGGGGGGGGATCACGATGCCTGCTCAACATGTCTGTCAGCCATCGGCTATGGATGATGGCATCGTCTATTGGCCCAACCCTAGCCTGAAGACAGTCAGTTCCCTTCAGTTATATACATTCATATACCTCCTCATCCCCAATTCAGTATTTAGGATTTAGGATCTTGCTCTGCCTGATACAGTATTTTCCACGTCTGTCTTCAGCGTTTCTGGCCTGTGTTAATGTCCTGTTTACAGACTTGGTAATATTTCCACACAAATTACATTTTGGGAAATTTGGGATTGCAGTGCAGTTTGTGTGCAATTCCTGGAATAGAGATCAGCCAAAATAAAACTAAAAAGCCGAAACACTCCAGAACTAGAGATGAATCAGTCGACTGGTGCATTTCTAGCTCTACAGTGCTCTGGGTGGTTGCTAGGAAATTATTAGGTCTACATTGTATTCACTCCACAATTTTGTTGCTAGAAAACTTATTTGTTGACAATCAAACAACTGCAAAGCTAACGGTAACATTGCCATTTTGTTTGCCTATATGTCTTTGAGCAGCATTGGAAATGGAGCACCTAGGAATATCTTAGTAGGAATATTTCACTCCCGACTTGGAATGCAAGGGTTGTTAAAATGCTTTACCCTGAGTATGAGCACTAGTGGTAGTGATGCATGCTCTAGCAATATCATAGCCTGCCATGTTTCACGGTATTCAAACCCTGATGGATAAAATTGTCTATAGTGTTAATGATGTCGCACCAGCGTGAAATCATGAGCCATTACATTATCTCAACATTTACAACCCCCGTATAGTTCCCCAGAATCCTTTGAATCAGCCTGCAATCCCAGTGCACTCAGTTGGAAGTCTACAGCCTCAACTGTCCTCCTTTACAGCAGACCGACATTGAGAAGTGATTTGATGGCAAGATCCAGACTCTCATTAAAAAACCTGCAAACTTCCAAAGAGTTCCTCCCAATGAGAACCTGAACTTCATTTAGTGACGACATTTAAGAGTGTTTTTTTCAGTGATTCAGTAAGGCTCCCCCTCTGTCTTCCTCTTCCGTGTCTTTCTGTCCTCCTTAACCGAACACCCGTGGAAGCTTTTCTCTGATTTCGTAAAGAATGAGGGATGAGAAGGAAGGGTAATTGTGTTGGATGCAAGCAGTAATTGATAGCAGCAGTAAAAGGATTTCCAACAAGCCAGGCCATGATGCAATTAATCACGAGTGTTTGTGAATGCGTATCTGTTTCCAGTGTGTGTGAGAGAGTCTTATTGATTACACTGAGCTTGGGCACATCTGTTAGAAGCTTCTGATGACCTTGGATGTTCCCTGAACTCTGTACAGTGTCTTTGTGATGAATGTAATATGTGGAACTGCTCAGTTAAATACGCTGATTCATACACACAGGTGTCATACGGTAACTATGATGTCTGCCAGACCAGCAGCACAAAGGAAGTCAATGAAATGATAAAATAAATCATTCTTAATACAGTTGTATTATCAAATGCCATGCTTTCTCTCTTTATTCTAAACTGTTATTCGTAATTCGTCATTTAATACAGGGATTTTAGTTTTTAGGTTAACTTTAAAAAGACAACATCAAATCTGAATTGAACCTGTTCACATAATAATTGTAATAATTCATCAGAGTCCAAAAATGGTTGTTTTCATAATCTTTCGTTAAAATGTAATGCCTTTCTCTTTCTGATATGTTTGCAAATGTTTTCTGAGGGATTTAGTATGATGTTATGCTGGTTAGGTTTTCTTTTTGGATGTTAGCATGTTCTGAATGTTCTTGAGTGTTCTGAGTGGTTTCAGGTTCAGTTTTACTAGATGGATGCTAGAACAGCCTGGGTGGTTGCTAGGGTGTTACTACGTGGATGCTAGAACATTCTACAGTAGGTGGGTGCCATGATTTTATTAGGTGGATGTTAGTGTATTAGGTTGCTAGGGTGTTGTTAGGTGAATGTTAGAATGTTCTGTGTGCTTGCTTGGGTGTTACTAGGTGAGTCCTTGAGTGTTTTGGGTGGTTGCAGGGGTTTTACTAAATGGATGCTAGAACGTTGTAGGTGGTTGCTATGCCGTTATTACATGGATGTCAGTTTATTCGGTTGCTAGGCCATTGCTACGTGGATTATAGAATGTTCTGGGTAGTTGCTAGGGTGTTACTAGGTGGATGCTAGAATGTTCTGGGTGATTGCTATGGTGTTACTAAGTGAATCCTTGAGTGAGTGTTTTGGGTGGTTTCAGGGGTTTTACTAGATAGATGCTACAAGAGTCTGGGTGGTTGCTAGGCTGTTACTATGTGGATGCTAGAATGTTCTGGGTGGTTGCTAGGGTGTTACTATGTGGATGCTTGAATGTTCTGGGTGATTGCTAGGCTGTTACTAAGTGGATGCTAGAGTAGTCTAGGGTGTTCTGGGTGGTTGCTAGGCCATCACTAGGTAGTTGATGTGTTCTGAGTGTTCTGATAGAGGGTTTACTTAGCGGTTGCTAGGGTGTTTCTAGTAAATATGTTGCTTAGGGGAAGAATTTTTTTGATTCAAAGGTTTGAAGTAGTGAAGGGTTTTAACAAGCACCACTAATAACATTGTAACATAAATTTTCACAATCAGATTAAAATCAGATTGATCAAATCAAGTCCCGCTGTACAGTTTTTCCACTTAATGTTCTGTTTTACACAGAAATATGTCACATTAGAAAGTGCATTTTATTGGATTTGATGTTATCTGTAATTGAATAAAAGAATATATCGTTTTAAAAACAGCAATACACAATAATGGTCTCAAAATGAACTGATATTTGAAGACTTGTACAGTATTTGTGGTTAATGTTGGCGTTTATGTGTGCATTCAGGTTTGTTTGGGAGAAGGACGGTCAGGTGATCATCACTCAGTCTCTGCCTCGACTGCGGTTGGATGTCAACGGTACGCTGCACATCTCTCAGACCTGGTCAGGTGACATCGGCACATACACCTGCAGAGTGACATCAGTGGGCGGCAATGATTCCCGTAGTGCGCACTTACGCGTGAGGTCAGAGATGAAAACGCACTCCCATCATCCTCTCTGCTCTGTTCCCTAGCCATGCAGTCCTTCATCTCTTCTGATCATTTCTTTTTGATTTGTTCTCTCCCTGCTGAATTGTATCTCATTCAGTTTTTCAATATCCCTGTTTATCACCTGCACTCGTTCGACCTCTTTTTCTGCCTCGTTGCCTCCATTTTTTTATTTAATAGCACAGCGGTTATTGTCTGCCCTCATTTTTTCTTTCTGTTTATCTTCATCTTTCTCTTTTATCTATCAAACATATTGTGATTCACTTTGTCTCTTTCTTTTTATTAATGTTCATGTCTCTTATCGATTGATACAGTAGTCTTATAATCATTTTATACTCACTCATTTATTTTCACGTTTGTCAAACATCCCCATTCTCTTAAAACTCTTCTTTTCTTCATGTCTTACATAGAGAAAGGATAAAGACAAAGTAATATTCTATATTTAATGTATATGTTGCATTTAGGTTGCTGATGAGAGGTTGCAGCTTGTTATTACATTCAATAATGTTGTTAGAACTAGTCAACTATATAGCATTTAACATGGATGGTTCTAAACGGCAATCCTCGCTGACCTCTCTTTTGTAGACCCATTCATGTTCTTGTTTTATTCAGACATGAGATATAATGCCTCATGGAGTGCACATCAAATGGCCCTGAAACTTCAAGACTATCTCACACTTTCCCTTTTTAAATAACATGCTACCCACAGGCAGTTACCTCATGCCCCTGAGAACCCCAGCGCAGTGTTAAGCACCACAGAGAAGAGAGCCATAAACCTGACGTGGGCCAAACCTTTTGACGGGAACAGTCCTCTCATCCGTTACATTCTGGAAGTGTCTGAAAACAGTGAGTAAAGACCTCATATGTGGATTATTAATCTTGGGCAAGTTGTGTGACATTGATGTAGTTACATTGTTATGAATTTCACTGATGATGTTCTGAAAGTCGTAATTATGTTAAACAGAGTAAGTTATTATTATTAGTAGTATTATTATTATTATTTTTATTATTATTGTTATTTTTGTTGTTATTATTATTATTATTATTATCATTGACAAAATAATTTCTCTATATTTATATTTTAAGAATAATAACAATAATAGTATCGATATTACTACTACTAACAATAATAATAATAATAATAATAATAATAAAAATTATTATTATTATTATTATTATTATTGTTATTATTAAAATAATATGAACAAAATAATTTGTTTATTATAATAATAATAACATCAATAAAATAATAAGAATAATACATGTAATGTTATTATTATTATTATTATTATTATTAAATGTCATTAAAATAAAATTAACAACAATTTACATTTAATAATAACACCAACATTATTATTAATAATAATAATAATAATAATAATAATGTAATATGAAAAAAATTTGTTTATAATAAGAAGAATAAGAAACAATGACCATAATATTTATTGTACTATTTCATATTATTATTTATTATAGGGTTCAGCAAATAACAATATCACAAATATTTTTTATTTTTTTTAACTAACAAACAAACAAACAAACATGAACAATTCATTGATTCTATTTTATAGATTTTTTTGAAGCACTAGTACATGGAACCATTGAACTTGAAAGGTTCTTCAATGGCTTCATAGGACCTTAAGAAGACTGTCCTATGCAAAAGCTATTTTTTAATGTTGGTTTAGTTCTTCACCTAGCTCATTAAATGTTCTTCATTATCTGCTGTACACAGATGCTCCTTGGACAGTCCTGTTGGCCAGCATCGAGCCGGAGTCGACTGCTGTAACGGTCAATGGGCTGATCCCGGCGCGCTCATACCAGTTCCGTCTGTGTGCCGTCAACGACGTTGGCAAGGGCCAGTTCAGCAAGGAGACTGACCGGTGAGCTGATCACAGAGTCCTAAAGCCTGCCGAGTATTACAGCTGTGCCCTGTCTGACCATAAAGATAAATCTACCACTCTGTCACAGCATGTGAAAATTGCCTGCGCTCTCGTGGGACAGTGTAAATAGGAGGATTTATCTGTCTGAACGCTGTGTGTGTGTATACAGCTGTATTTTTCTGGGATGTGTTTATGTGTGTCAGTGTATCTTCCAAGGATCAGTGTAATCAAAGCCCTCGGCGTGTAAAGAAAGCTTTTCGACACTTAAATTAGACATTCAGCAAATGCCGCCATCAGAACGGACTCAAATCCCTCTAGTTCTCCTGAGGTTTGAGACAAACCTCTTCTAGCCAAGATAATCCCAACTCAAGAATATACAGGATGATACCACCCTATATAAGAGAGAGTGAGAGATCATATGTGACCCGTGCTGGCAAAATGAGTCGGAATGCACACGGGGTAATTTTGAGCTACACGCAAAAAAGTGGGTGGAAAAATGAATAAACAGCTTGAATATTCGATTTCTACATGTGGGCGGGAATTAAACGCCCCTTTCTGCTGATTGGTCAGCCGAAGATCAAACCGTGCCATCATCAGTTCTTCTGCAGTATCACGCAGCAGAATAATAGTCCTCCACTGCTGCAGTTGTACGGATTAATAACCCATTTTATCAATTTCATATTTTTCTCATCAAACAGACTATTGAATAGCTCGACACAACTCGTACCGGGGCAGAGTCTAGACAGTTCTTTCTTCTGTGTAGACCAGCGGTTCTTAAAGTAATAGGGGGTACGAGAAATAATTTGCTATAGCCTAAAGTATTTCCAGACTGTAAAGTCGCTTTTTTTATCATGATACATAGGCCTACTGTGATTTATTCCAAAGTGACTTATATGATGCATTTAACGTCAAATAATCTAAATGAAGCCTTTTAAAAGACAAGTATTCCCTGTGGTTCATGTTTGTGGCATGCGCCAGAAAGATGCTCAAGGAGCTAAAGCAGCGCTAAAGCAGCGCATTCTGTTGTTCTCTTTATTTTTCAAAGGCATGACATTTTGTAGTTATTTTGAACATAACGTTACACAA